TAAGAAAATGGTTGATTATCTATAAGTCGATCTGTCTGTTATTGTTATTGTATTTATATTGGGCTTTTAATTAAGAAAAAGTAGTCTTTATCCGATTACTCGATTAATCGATGGAATATTCGATAGAATACTCGATTACCAAAATATTCGATAGCTGCAGCCCTACTGACAAGCTCAGGAAATGTTTTTCTGAAAACTAGTTGGACACTCATCCTGTCGTACGGCAGTGCTTGATTACATGACCTAAAACCACTTATGGACTACACTAAATCAAACTAAAAACCCATTTAAAAGAGAGAATTAGAGAATAGTTTGCTTTTAATCTGTACAACATTGCAGATTTTGAAGAAGTAATGGCTGCCCTGGTTTTGGAAGATGATCACTTTCAGAGGCTTTTATGTAGCAAAGAAAGAGAAGTGGCATTACCAAATAGACAAGGACACACATGTGCTCCTTGGGCAGCCAGTGGAAGAGGTCAGCTGGGTTGCTGGGCAGAATCTCATCATCGTGGAGTGTAGAAATGGTCTGGATGCACTGCTGCAGCTGCTTCAGACACGGCTTCACACTCTTCACCTGGGGATACACGCGCATGACAATGTATCATATCTCTGCTCCACGTACTTTGAGACAACCAGACATCAAAACAGATGCACCATCCCTAATCCCCATATTAAATCAACATATGCATGCATGTTCCACCCCCAATTATCTAAACCTTCCAGACTGGTTTTCCTACCTGTCCAGCATCCAGGTAGTGTGTAACCTGTAGAACCAGGAAGAAGACCCTCAGGGACTCCTTCTGGATTGGGTTTCCCTGCCAGTTTTCGACAATAGTTCCGCACAGTGTGAGCAGAGGATGCACCTCCCCAAGCTTCCTCTCCATTAGCAGCAACTGGACGAAGAAAAAAACATCAGGAAAATCAAAACGTGAGAGAATTTGATGTTCATTGCTTTTGTTTTTAACTAAAATGTTACAAAATAACCACTATTACTGTTAGTGGTAGTGTCGTGATGTAACAGCACAAATCACATAGCGAAGTAAAAGTAAAGCAGCAACTCACCATTCCTTTACTGAGGAGGAACAAAGCCCTAGAAAGAAAAAAGACGTTCTCAAAATGAATCAGTATTTATAAACACTTTGTTTCAGTTGCATTGGTGGCAAGGGTCAGTGGAGAATACCACAGTGAAATTTACTCAGAGGTGATGAAATGTGTCTCACAAGAGAAGGGTCATTTGTTTCAAAGGCTTTACAAGAGCAACATTTTACTTGTTGAACAACTTAATTATTTGCAATGCAATGGGAATTTTACAGTGTTTTGTCTTTTATTTGGTACAGATTATGTGATTTCTCTGTACCCACAACAACTAGACAATGTAAAGAAAATGCAAATGAAAAAATAAAATGTGCCAAGTAGCTAAACAAAACTTTGATTTAGTGTATATAATCTGACAAATGTAAATGATGTTTCCTGTATTTTGTAGCACTTAATCTTCTGTAGATGAATATTGGGAACAAGAAGTCAGCAACATGCCGTTTGTTTTGCTGCCTGTCAACAGGATTGTGGAAAAACTACTGGGATGATTTTCATGAAAATAGTTGGAAGGATGTAGGAATTATTTTTAGTGTTAAATGGAATGGTGTCTGTGGAAAAATGGAAACTAAATTCGTCACACATGCCTGAACCCGCTGTAATTACAGTTAATGGTGTGCTAAACATACAACAAAGCATAACAGCCACCTCAAATATCACTGCAGAGACAAAGCACCTTGGCAGACATCTGCGCTCTCTGAGTGTCCAACTAGTCTGGTTTGTTTTTGTGTCAAAGCGACTAATGAGGACAACAAGTTTGGAATTTGGTTCAGTATCGAGTAAGAGTGCTACAGCCTGTGAAACGGGTTACAATCCTTTTGGGAAATTGCTCATCGCCTAAATATATCCATTAAAAGGTGCTCCTTTTTTCTACTGGCAGGCTCAGATCATTATTATACAGTAAGTGCCTGACAACACCACCCTACAGTGAAATGCAAGGTTTGCTTGATCCCCTGTGTCACCAAGTCTCTCTCAAGGAGAATTCTCATTTGGAAATCCCTGGAGAGGTGAGGTGTTTTGTTGTAGTGTCAGCTGGGAAGAGTTTGTTGTGTTGGAGTATAGAAAGCATAGCTTAGTGCTATGTAAAAGATTTTCAATGTCATGGCTGAATATGTAGCTTATTGGGTGAGGCCTTTAAATTCAATGCATATATGGATGAAGTGCTCCTACAAGAGCAGATGATGAGGAACAGAGAGGGGCAACGGGCAGAAGAAGGTGAACCAGCTGCTGCGAGGCTGCGAGGCTCTGGAGACTGGTGGTGTTCCTGTGGCTGCTGTGGCGCTATGCCCCAGAGGAGATTTCACAGTGAAAGGTACCAACAATATTTAATTTATCCGTAGTTTCCTTATCACAATGTTGTCAGACACGTATAATAACAATCGGAGCTGGTAAGTAGCAAAACCAAGCACTTTTAATGGACGTATTTTGACAATGCGCAATTCCCTATATGGATTACGTGTAGCCTGTTACATGGTTGCAAGCTTCAGAGCTCTTCCTCAACACTGGACCAGATTCAAAATGTGCTGTCCCCATTAGTCATTAGTGGTTGATACCAAAGTTACCCTTTAAGATGGCAACCCCTCCATACAAACATGACACAAAACAAACTGAAGGGAAGTGAATCGGTGAGGGTCTAAATTAAGTAGTAAATAAATAATAATTGATTAATTACTCATACTTGTACTAACTTAAACTATTGTGTTCTTGTGCTCCCCCGATCAATAGTAATGTTTGATGAAGTTGGCGGTGTTAAATGCCATTATTACTAAAAGCCTTAACTCTGCAGTCAACAGAGGATTGGGTGACATTTACCTGGTATATTCTGACCCAACCACACGGGCGTACTCAGCGCCAACCCCCAGCAGGTCACATGCTGACACCAAGTCTTTCTCCAGAGTATGAAGTTGCTGAAAGAGAGGATAACATTCCTGTTGTTACTGGAGACTCTTTCGCTATTTGGGCAAAATCGTGCTAAAACTAAAGTGCCATAGTGAGCAAACTGCACTCAGATTAACTACCAGACCTGTATTAAGGCTGTTGTGAATTTGTTCTCATTTCAGCTCAAACACTGTTGGACCTTCACATGACAATGACTCGTGAAACAATATCACCCCAACAGGGGCAGTGACACTGATACATACCGCCAACTGGAACAGCAATCTGCAGTGCCAGTATGGTGTTTGTTGTGAAATCTGGATGGCCTTGCGCAGAAGGGGTTTTGCAGAGTCCACCAAATTCTGAAAATGTAATGAAAAAAAACAAAAAAACAATAGTCAATAATAAATACCAATTCCCAGCCTACCCAGCATGCACCACAACAACTCCTAGCACCTTGTCAATTTCACTTTGTGGTAAGAAGTGATGAATGTATGCAGCTACGCTAAAGTTGCCTCTACATAACAATAATAATCAAGGTTACTTTAAATGTACCCAAAATGAGCTTACCTGTTGGCAGAAGAGTTCTGACAAAATGCTGGCAGCTTCAAATTTGACATCTTCGAACTGAGGGACTTGTTGAGATATGAACCACTGCAAAACAAAAGGAACAACTGGTTAGCGGCGTCATATTGTCTGTTTTGCTATCTTTATGAACAAATAATAATCCCATACAGCGGCTTATTTAGCTAGCACAAGAGAAAGAACGAAAGCGGCCGACACGGGACGAATGTTTTATATATATTGGGGGGGGGGGAAGGCGGACAAATCTTATATTTCAGTTTCTTTACAAATACAGCCTTCCTGAATAAACAGCTATTTAAGGATTTCCGGCGTTGGCCGTTATCGACGACTGCGGCCTACACCCGTCCGCTTCTCCGCCGCATCCCCGTTCTTTCCTAGCTCGAACGTCCCTCACCGCTTTCTCCAGGTGGCTGCGGGCCAGCTCGCTGTTCTTGGTGTGGTGGTAGAGAACCGAGCCCAGCTGAAGGTGTGTCCGGGCCTCGATCCTCTGCGGGGGCTTAAACTGAAACACTGCCTGTAGACAGTGCACACAGAGCCGGATTTTGGGCGGACTGGATGTTCGGAAATGTTCCGCAAAGCCGAGAAGGGCGAGGTACCAGCGCTCCGGGGCCTCTACGTTTGACGCCATTTTCCCCGACAACAACAAGTTTTTCAGCGCTATGGCCAGACTCCCGGGTTGCCAGGTTTGGTCCAGTGGAACCCACAACCAAAGCGTCTAAAGCCCCAATCCACCTATTTTGTTGTTGTTTTTTCTTTTAAGCAAACATTTAATAATTTAAGACTAACGCGGTTTAATAAAAAAGTTCCAGTTAGAATAATTTAACATAAAAGGAACACTGTGCAATTGATCTAATAAATGCTGTCTCATATTTTATTATGAGACACTGGTGCTTTGAATAATTTCCATGTTGTAAGATATTATACTCTTACTTAATCATGTTTAATTGAGAAATTTTACATTATTAACGTCATTGTGTATCTGTCAGAATTAGGTTTCACATGCCAAACACAATTAAATAACTAACTAACTAAATAAAGTAAATATATGCTGAATTTCACCTAACCATGTGGAGTTGGGTCACCTATATAACATGAGAAGTATTTCTTAAAGGTTAATGTACAGTGAAGTGTTCTTACATCCTGTAATGGATCATTCTTGAAATAAATAACTTTACCTAGGGATAAACTGATTAGTCGATTAACATCCACATATACTGATACATTTGTTGTATGCATTGTGGTTGTTGTCTGTGTCTGCTCTGAAACTCAAACTGTTCCGTCTGCATGAACACGTATGTAATCATGGCAACGGCACGAATACAGTTTGTGACATAGCAGCAAAAACCTGGCAACCCAATGTTGTAGATAAACTCGCGAGATGTTATCCAAATAACGCGACTCGCTCGTGGGTATTGTAGTCCAAAACACTGGCAGATACTGCCCCAGATTCTTTAAGACCTTGAAAAGCCCAAATAATCTTGTGCGCAGAACCAGACAGAGGCAGAACGGGCTCGCAGGCGGCCTCGCCTATAAATAGATAACACAGTCCGCCGCAGCAGACACCTGTCTCTCACAGTCCTCTGCGCAAACGTCAACAACGTGAAAAGACGCGCAGACACCTCGCAGCGTGAAGCAAGTTAAAAGAGCCACTGAGCACCTCCAGCGAGCAAACAAGAAATGTGTGCAAGAATCTGCGGAGAGACTGTTGACTGATTGAACGAAGACTAAACACGAGGTTCTTTTAGACGAAGGTAACTAAATGCAGCATGTAAGCACTGCACGTCCGGATTTAAAGGCCATATCGATGCATAGGCATGTTCATTCATTATCTGTGCGTCTGTGATACGCAGTTTGTTTATTTGAGGTGTGGTCTTTAAGTTATTGTGCGCAGACATTAGTTTTGAGGGAATTGACAAGTGAGCCAGATTGATCCATACGAACGGGGGATTCGGGTACGTGGTGCAACGTAAGTATGGATGGATTGAACATTGGAGCTTTTGTAATGCAACACTGTTTACAAGCCAGGCTGTGTTGTTGTGTGGATCAGGGACGTGCGTGCAATCACGTCCGCCTTGTGGCACAGATACTGAGGCAGTGCGGCACAGCAGGTTGTTGTTTTGTTACACGCAGTGTCTTTTTAAAGGCCCCTTAAATCTTTTCTCATGCATTTCTCTGCAGTGGACTGAGTGTCTCAGTGACAGCCTTGGTGATCTGTGAAGAGCACTCATGGCCCACCGTGTGAGCGACCCTCAGAACCGCCTGCCTGTGGCCCAGGCCACTGTGCTGGCCCTGCCACCCCCCAGCCAAGCAAAGGTGAGTGTTGTTTGTGTTAAGACTCATTCACTTGTTGTGCTTGATGAGTAAAATGTGTCACTTGTTATGAGACATGAGAGCAGCTGGGAAATGGATTGTTTACAGAAGTTTAAATTGGAAACTGTAACACAATTAACACACTTTTTAGTATGTGCATTTAAAAAAGTTTATTTCAAAATAACATACATTCCTATAAAATGTATAATTTGTGAAATTGTTCCATTATCCCCCTGAGGTATGGTTTCTTTGTTTTTAAATGTAAAAGAAGCCGTACTGTGTGTCTCTCAGGCTCTGCTCAGTGTTTTGGAGCTGTTGTTGTGACATAGAGCCTTCGTGCTTTTGAAGGACATGCCTCTACTGGTGCATTGCTGTAAATAGAAGGCTAATCTAAAGCTGGCCTTAGTTTACAAAGCAATACAGTAGGTGGTATTTCATAAGGACAATCGCGACAGATGTTTACCGTAGTAGGTTAGGGGTTGTCAGTATACAAGACAATATTTATAAAGTATTGTCTTTCTTCTTTAATAAAACTAAAATAATAGAAAATAGTGACATTAGAGGTGGGAAAAGTATTCAGAGTAAAAGCAGCCATACCAAAATGTAGAAATACTGTTTACAAGCTGTCAAAATGTACTTAAAGCACCAAAACCCAAAAGTAGTGATTGTGCAGGTGCATTTCAGAATAATGTATCTTATATTATTGGATTATAATTAGTTCATTTGTATATGACTTTAATGTTGAAGCTGATAAAGGTGGAGCTAATTTGAATTATTTTATACTTTATCTGCTGGGTAGCTTGTGAATTTGTGTTGATTATATTCTGTATTATTAATCTGAACATGCAAAGTCATGTAACTAAAGCTATCAGATAAATGATGGAGCTAAAAACGCTCATAAATTAAAAATGGAAACCTATCAAGAAAGAACAAGTACTCCAAAACTGGTTCTTAAATACAGTATGCAGTCAACACATGTACTCAGTTACTCTCCACTAATGGTTAACCTCAGACAGAATGTAGCCAGGTTGGAAAGTTTATTGACTATATGTTTAGCTTTAATAGTTAATCCAAAACTTAATTATTCATGTAAGTGAGTGAAATCCAAAACCGTGTCTTCTCTCGTCTGGTTGAAGTTGTGAAACATGTTTGCTATTTGGGCCAAATGCTCTTCTTATCAGTTGGGATCGTTTATTGGGTTCAACTGGTATTTCCACACACACACACACATATAGCTGTACTTCAGTGAAGCATCAGTCGGTGTTATCTCCTGTGATTTTGTCACTCTAGCACTAATCCACGTGCAGATATGCTGAGGGATAGATATGGGAATGGGGAATGTTTGTGCTGATAACCATATGACGTTTGTGTAGCATGTTTGTGAGGATCAAACAGCCACATAATACAAGAGATATATGATTACACACTTACTTTCTCTGTACATACTTTAAAAAGTAAACCAGTGTAAGGCTTTGAAGATACATCCTGAGTTATTTCAAGGGTCAGTTTGTATCAGTATAATGTGACAAATGTCTCCTGAAGTAACGCAATGCAAACATGTTCTGTGTGTCTAAACAGGACTTGAGACCCAGATGGACGGCACTGGACTCCCTGCTGTGTGGGGCATTTGCTGGAGCTGTAGCCAAAACAGTTATTGCACCTCTGGATCGGACCAAGATCATTTTCCAAGGCAAGAACAACAAAAATAATTCCTTTCCAAATAGAGAATGTACAGACAGAAAATATGCTACTGTATATGTAAGGGATTTAAATACTGTTCTGTGTATTACACTACACAGAAAGACTAGTGTTTGTACAGTTTTCCCTGACTGTAACTGTTCCTAACTAATTGCTAATCCTCTTAGTAGATGTTTAGCCTACAGAGAGAGTGTTGTTTAACCCTGACGTTCACTGTGTCTCTGCTCTTGTTCCACAGTGTCCTCAAAGAGATTCTCAGCTAAGGTGAGTTCATGTTTCTGTCAAAAATCAGTCATTGAAATATTCTAGATTCACCAATTTAATATGTGGCTACTAATGGCAGCCAGGACCACATTAAAAGGAAGAATGTATTAACGCCCAAAATGAATCAGTGACAGTTTTGATAATTAATTTATTGTCGTTTATCATTTGCTAAAAAAAACATATATATATATATATATATATATATATATATATGTATATTTTTAGCTTTTATTTATTTTATAATA